TGGACTGAATAGCTTCAAGGTGAATCACACATGTCATTGATGCCCAAATTTGTTAGAGGAGAATGAATGAATCTGTAATGCAAACTGTAATTATGGTGTGGTTGGAAGTGGTAGATTACAGATGCTATTAAGGCCCCTTATTGCTACCTACATACTGGGAGCACAAGCCAGACATAGTGCCAAAACCCCTAGCAATCATTGCAGAATGTTCCAGAATATATACCCCAGACAGCAAAAAAATCACAAGTTTTTTGCTGAAACTAGGACCCCTGACACCCCTACAGACCAGAAAAATATATCCTTACCACATCTGTTTCACAAAATATATCCTAAGGCCAAGCCAGGGCAAAAATATATTTCTAAGGTGTGACAGTGACATTTCAGGGTCCACTCACCAAAAATATATCCTTACTGCATTTCACTTGCAAAATATATTTTGGTGGTGTGACACAGACATTATAATTTTTGTGTGACATTTCAGGGTCCATGTCTCAAGAATATATTTTAGATTTCAGGGCTTTCTAGGACCCATATATATCTAGAATATAGATATGGTCCATGACATTTAGTCATGTAACTTACGTGGAGTTTGCATGACTAATAGTCAGTTGGCAGTGGGTGACTGAAGTGTGCTGGCGGAGTTGGGGACCTCCAAAAAGGGGAACGGTAAGCTATATCAAATAACAGGGTTTTGTGGAACCTAACGGCACCCTAGATACTGTAACATGGACTTTATCCTTCTTTCTGCACTCACTCCACTCCTCGTCGCCGCCGTCTTCGTGTCATATGACATCGCCTGCCAGTTTAAACTAAAATTTGCGTCTCGAATGCCAAAGCTCCCCGTCGACCTCCATCTACCGCCATCCGTGAACGTGGATTGGGGGATACCAAAGTGTCACTGTCCCATGCATAAGGTCCCTTGCCAGGCACCCCATTCACTGAACTTGAAACCTGGTGTCGGCCGAACGGACGGCGAGGGTATTGAGCGAAGTTGGGCCGAGTTGAATCGCGTGGCCAACAGTACCAAAGAAATGGGTCCGGGATCCAGGCACGATACACTTGATGACCATTTGGGTCATCATAATTTCCGTAAATATGTTTCGCTAGGTATGTTTTTATTCTTCGTTTGAACCGTTCTGATGGCGTTATCACGTAGGACGTACTTTACACTCCCGTCTCCTCCTTGCGATACCAGAGCAGAAGCGCCAACAGAAGATTTTCGAGGATTTTACGGCGTCTCTGACGGAGAAGGGCGAATTGGAGAAGGAGTGGACGCAGACAATACTCGATTGGGAGAAGGATCCCAAGAAGACAAATCCTTATTTGTCAGTAGTGGCCCGTAAGTATAATACCATTCTCATTTGCCATTTCTTACCCCCGGTTTCCAGACGCCTCTCAGGACCAGGTGAAGAAAACATTACTCGAGGAGGAGAAAAATGCAGTCACGGCTGGCACGCCTCAGCTACATGAAACGGGACTGACGGCTTTTATTTCAATGGGGCTGATCATCGAAGAATCACAGTAAGTCCACAAATTGTATTTGATTGACATCGATCACCAACAGTTTATTAGACAACGGATTGTTTGGGACACTAAGCGACGGGAGGAGTTTACAACTCATAAAGAAAATGAGGTTCAACGCCGCCGCCTTCTTCTCCTCCGCGAAATGAAACTGTTCCGCAACCTCCAGGCCATTTACATGCCTGCGGCGACGGTTTTAGCTGGCGAGCACGAAGCTTCACAACGAGAGATGGTCGAGGCCAAGCGGGACAGTGTGGAACCAGAGCATCAACGCCTCTGGCTGCCTTTGGCCCTTCCAAGCGCTCAGCGGACGCACAACTGCAGCAAGGTTTTGGTCGACATCGAGATCAAATTACGGGAGGCGCAATGCTACGACATATTGGAGAAAATACGCAACATCCAGCGCGGTCGCTTATCGTTCATTGGCTTTCGAAATCGAAATATCCGAGGCCAGAACCCAAACACGAGAGCCAAGGAAACCCTCGATCGTCTTGAAGACAAAACGAAAGCATTGGCCGTGAAATACCGAGCCGCACGCAAGGCCCTGATGGAGCTATTGGGTCCTGGGGATTGGGAGAGGAGCCTTCGGATACTAAGAAACGGCGACCTCACCACACCTGACGGGATGGAGATCAGTATCGATGATCCAACCGATCCAATCAACCCTGCTGGACAAGAACGTTCGAAGAAACAACGCAAAGCAGCCAAGTTGGGTTTGGGTCAAGGGAAGAAATCAGTGTCGTGGATTTGGACAACTGCTGATGCGATTGGGGACGGCAGTGATGCGGTACTGCACAAGGGTAAGTAGACTACTTGTTTAGCATGAACATGGTTGACTAATAGCCGCTCGTTTGCAGCGGTTCGTATTGAATGGGCAAAAGCGAGGGCTCGACATCTAAGGTGGACAGAAGAGGTGCAGTTACTGAAGGAGGAGATGCGGAGGGTCCGGAAGACATTGGAGTGGAAGGTCGAGTGGTGGAATGAACGCCGAGGGGGATGGCCAGGTTTAGACAATCCAACGCGCGAAGGGGTGAGGGCGTATGCGAGCCGTCAGGCTTGCATTCAGCTTTCCCTTCACCAGCGCTTCACCCGACTATGGGAGAAGCCACTGGTACCATTAACTAGTGAAGAGGAGAGCAACGAAGGCCCTGGATCATCGGTCGATCCAATATTAGAGGCCCTGGTAGAGGAGGACGAGGAGTAAATATATTCATTATTTGCATCTATTTATCAGAGGCCCCGAAACACCAAATGACATCCAGATTCAGTTTGTTGCATCCAGCTATTCTGGGCACGGAGAAGCAAGGGAAACTCTTCTAAAATGTATAAAAATATCTACAGATATATATATTTGTGGTTTCTGGGCTTCCTTTGCAGAGGAACACGGGCAAGGGACGGAATGCTTTCATTTGAAGCCAACGGAGATGTTTGTTGACATGTATTTATCAGAGGCCCCTACATACCAAACGACATCCAGATGCGGTTTGCCGCATCCATCTATTCTGGGCATGGAGAAGCGGGGGAAACTATTCTAGGATGCATAAAAATATCTGCAGATCTATATATATATATATTCTGGCCTTCTTTTGCAGAGGAACATGGCCAAGGGACAAAATACTCTCATTGAAGCCAAAATTGTATTTGTTGTTTGTTAATATTGACAAATCAGCTGGAGAACAAATACAGAAACAAATACAGAGAGGCAATATATCATGTAGGGTGGCCTGCACCAGTCCACATCCCAAAGGGCCTGGATATTTCCATCCCCTATGCAATAGGCATGGGTGGATTAGTCCAATATATAAGGCATAGTCCTACAGCCATGGGTGTCTTTGGCCCTTTCATTATCATTTCTGAGACTTTTCATTAGGATATTTCATTAGGCTCCTGCGCTTTTTCATTACCATTTCATAGAATTTTTATTAGGATATTTCATTAGGCTCCTGTGCTTTTTCATTACCATTTCAAAGGAATTCTCATTAGGATATTTCATTAGGCTCCTGCGCTTTTTCATTATCATTTCTTAGAATTTTCATTAGGATATTTCATTAGGCTCCTGCGCTTTTTCATTATCATTTCTTAGAATTTTCATTAGGATATTTCATTAGGCTCCTGTGCTTTTTCATTACCATTTCATAGAATTCTCATTAGGATATTTCATTAGGCTCCTGCGCTTTTTCATTATCATTTCTTAGAATTTTCATTAGGATATTTCATTAGGCTCCTTTGCTTTTTCATTACCATTTCTTAGAATTCTCATTAAGATATTTCATTAGGCTCCTGCGCTTTTTCATTATCATTTCTTAGAATTTTCATTAGGATACTTCATTAGGCTCCTGCGCTTTTTCATTACAATTTTTTATATTTCTCATTAGGATATTTCATTAGGCTCCTTGGCATTTTCATTAGATTTTCTTGGAATTTTCGTTGGGATATTTCATTAGGTCACATGGGTTGTTGGGAGGGTGGTCACATGACCAATTACCAAAAATAGTCAAAAAGCGAAAGTTGTACCCCTGCACTGTAGCTTCCCAAATCTGGTTGAATTATGTTCTGAAGTGCTCCTGTTGTGGAGATATGAGGTAAAGGAATTCCA